TATGCGAACATTTGATTATTAAGTTTATGCTCAACCCGAAGTGCTATATATGTCATCTTTACTATCCGAGCCTTGAAGTCTAGCACGAAGTTTCGACCCAGCGTCCGATTTCTCAGTTATCAAGTGTCTGTGGGTCCTGAAAACCTTGCTTCTTAGTGCCGTAACGAACTTATTTAAAAAGAATGCGCATTACCTCAAAACGAAACGGTGTTTCTGCATTAATACCACAGTCCTAATGGAACTAAGTCACAGCGACATCAAGTCCAGTATCTTTGGTCAGTATTACTGGCCCAACGTGTCCAAGCCATGTATCCTACTGCAACCAGAAATTCTACTAAGCTAAGATCCTTTACTTGACCTGTGCAAGCCTAATGTTCAAGCGATCTCAATTCCAAATAAAAAATGGTCTGTTTTTAAAAAAAGCTCACTGTCCCTGCAAGCGCGAGTGTAAAAACTTGGGTCAGTGTTGCTGACCCGACATGTCCTAGCGACAAGTCCTGTTACCTAGCGTCTGTTGAGGGACGTCTTCGCGTGGAAAGTTTTCTGAGCCTCGATAAAGGCTCCAGGCGAGCACCTGACAATGCATTTCAACGATGTATCTTTATGAATGACTCATCTTTCACGATTCCATTCGATCCGCCAATAATTTTCCGAAGAATATCTAGCTCTTTAGATCTAAGTTGTCTTACAAAATATACTCCATATTAGTGGAAGTTTCGGAAGATTTGCTCTTATGAATTATTATCGTATGTGATATTTGCAATTTCAGACAATTTGTCAGGACGTCAACTTGGTTTTGGATACTGATTTATTTAAAGGTGCATCATTTTTTAATCATTATTGACAATAATTTACGCAAAGATTGTACAATGGTAATAATAGTTAAAACGGCACCTCATTCATGAATTTTTTTGAGTGCCATGAAGCGTTGCTAATACCCGTAAATTGAGCAAAACTGTTATTCATTTGCACATTTGAATCACTTGGAAACTTGGATATTATGGCAAGATAATAATTTTGCAAGTTTTCACTAAACTTGTAATTTTCAAATAGAAAGGAATCAAATTTACTTTCTTCTTGTATGCGATTTTTTACAGATACCATAAAATTCATAAAAAATACATCTAATAGACGCTCTTTCTATCTTCTTTATTGGCTATTTCACGCAACTCTGGTCTCTCGCTTCGGATTCTCCGCTGCCTCCCTTCACGCCTGACTCTCACAACGACCGCAAAAAGGGTAGATTTTATTCTTCAACTTCCATTGAGATAACGACCTCAGAAAAGACTCGTCTAAAAGACTTGATCTTTTCATCAAAAGATAGACTCAGTCTCTCTTCTGCTACGCAGTGAATGGTGGAAATTCCTATGGTTACGGCACCCCTGGACGTGGGAGGAGAGCAAACCGCGGGTTTTGTTCAATCTCGGGTTCATGGCTCCGACGCCAATTTTAAGCTGTGCTGCATTTCTCTACAGTCCCAACGCCAATGTAGTACATCAGTTGTGTTTGTTGTGTTTAAATTCGGTTTGTATTTGCAGATTTGTTATATATAATGAACTTTTGTCATCTAGTTCCTCCTTCCGTGTACAGTACCAGACTAAATTTCAATTTGACAACAAATAATTTTAAAGTATCATTTCGATGTTGTATAGCCGGGACATTAAATTTTTATCGTTGATTATTTTTACTCAAAAATTTTTATTAGTTATAAATAATCTAAATACAAATTTCAACTTTTCATTTGATATAGCGAACGATAGAAGGAAATCATGATTGAGTTCCCTTGCTAAGATTCGTTCCTACGACGAAATATGTTTATTTCTCAAATATTTATGATTCGAAGGACATATATAGACGCAGAGTTGTGATTGCCTAGAATTCAATATCTCAGAGAAGAGTCAGGAGCTTTTATCAGATTTTTTCTGTTGGTTCTCGGCACAGTTTCCTCTTTACTCGATGGAGACGAAAGTTACAGTTTTGTCCGGAAGGATGGGCCCAATGTTTTCACACTCTTAGCTGATATCTGAAACTACGAGTCAACAAAGTCTTTGGAAAATCCGTTGGTGGACGGCATCGAAACTTCGTCCGAGAAATTATTTATAATATTTTAAATTTTATCTCTTGTAAAGAGCATGACATTTTTATTATGATGTGCAAACACAATTTTTAGTCGCCAACACTTGCCGTGATCGAGCAAATGCATTGAATTGTTATTTTTGTGTGTGTTTTTTTTAAACAGTGAGTTTTAATACTGTGAGGATCAATATAGAATATAATGTTATTGATTAATTTTCAAAACAGTGAATTTTAAAAATTGTTAATGGTAAGCATTTATGGAAGAAAACACTTCATCTGTATATCTTGCATCTGCAATAAATGCTAATAACTGAGAAATTATCATTGTTCCCTGATTTTACTAATGGTTAACCATTTACTAAAACTGAATGCTTAATCCAATGCTATATAACGATCAACTGAAAGCATTTACGCTTGAGTTATAATATTCATTCGAAGAATACGTTTTATTGCGCAATAATCTAAATATTGTGGACAAAATAAATGTAGATAAAGAATTGAAGTCGTACGAAATGTTACATCAATATGATTATGTGTATACTAATTTACATGACTGAGCTTAACTGCATTAGCATCTCTCTATCCGTCTATCGTATTAAAGAAAATAATATTTTGTATTTGCTTACTCAAATTGTTCATTTCGCCATTTAGGCGCAATATTTTTGCCCATAGCCTCTTACCTTAACTATACTTACATGTATGTTTTTCAACGCGTCGAGCAGGCGTCTCATGAAGCCTTTAATTAATAAATCAACACGTCATCGATTGCGCCCTTCAACAGATCTAATAAACTCCCAGTGCCCCGCAAATGTTTGCATGAAGATAGAGGAGCCTGAATTACTAGACTTGGGGCATACAGAGAACACGCTAAACTGACCATTGGTGCCTCGGGTGCTGAAGTGTAGCTCATTTACCTTCGGGCTTTCCATAATTTTTTGCCTCGCTCGAGATGGGCAAGTCTTGTACGTAGCTCCGGAAAATGCGTAATTTAGCGTAAGTTTTGTTTGGCTATCAATACATCAGAAAAACTAAAAAGAAGACTATTGTCACAATTACAACGAATCAAACATATGTGTATTACAGAATTATTCTGAAATTTCCAGAAATATTCCTTAACGATTTTCTTGGGGTAAAAAAATCGGTTTACGCACTAATAAATATCAAACAATGTTACTGGGGAAATGGAAAGAAAAAGTTTTGCGATGTCTACGGCCTTCTATTGTGAGTTTTATAGCATAGATATTGAATTTTAAGCGCTATATGGAAACTGATAAGCCCAATAAGGGACATGGTTACATGAAGAGAGAAAAAAATTATAACAATTTTTCAGTGTCACTGAGAATGATTTTATGTCAAAGCCTCGGTCGAAGAACTGCTTCAGTTTACTGTGATGGGTATTGAGCCGTAGCCAAGAAGGTGGCTCAAAGGGTTGTAAGGTTTAATATTCTGACGAATAAAATCATAACACATTAAGTACGCATGCCACTCACGAGCTTTGTGAGAGCTTGACCAGAAATTGTTGTATCTAGCATCTATATCTTTCTCATATTATTGAACACATATTGTATTATATTACATTATATTATATCATATTATATTTCACTGCGGCTACAGATCCTCGTGTAGCATGATCCGAGCCACGCCACTGCGGCTACAGATCCTCGTGTAGCATGAGCCGAGCCACGCCACTGCGGCAACTCATCCTTGCGAAGAGCGGGCCGACCAGCATCTATGCGGCAACAGCTCCTCATATGGCGTGCGTCTCGCATCGTCTATCCTGCCACAGCCTCGCACCATTTATATTCATTCGGTCAGGAAATAAAATTTCCTTCCCAGCTATTTTCTCTAGGCTTTCTGCAACAGCTGCGGAGCTGTGCTTTGCTTCAAGTTTGTTTATTTTCTGAACCATTATCGACAACACATTAGGAAATTGATTCAATAGGATATAGAATGTTATCATTCCCTTTTAACCTAATTTTTATGTTTACCTGTGTGAGAAATTTATTTCAGGACTTGACATCTGTCAACTGGTCTGTTCTTATGTTCAGTTGATGATGCAGGAAAGACATGTAGCTGTTAGTAGGAGCTGATGAATGTATCGTCCTAATTTTCTAATGAATATACATCTCTCGATTTCACCGGTAATACTTATTGCCTTACTGATGTCGATTGTAGCTGTAACATCGCACATAAGATTATTTAATTTCAACTTAGTTCCATACTTCTAAGCTACTTATGAACATGATTTATTTAAGTCAAAGTTTATTAATTGGAAATTCAGAAACGTATTCATTAACATCAGTTTTAATAGTGCATGATACAGATAAATATACCAAGCTGGTTTTATCACATTTAGCAGCGAAAGTCCCCACTAGTTTTCTACAGTTCAAAAGTTAATTTAGCAGGTAAAACTTCCTTCATTATGCGTAGCTGGCAAATACCGCGATCCAGAGTTGTCTTGGTAACAAACAGACAAGAAGTATTGGCAACCGATATTGGAAACTTGTTCCGGACATCTACCTGGACTCATTGAGAAGTTTTTTCTGGCAAAGCCCTTCAGATCTCAATTATTCAGACCCATTTTACGCAACTCAACCGCAGTGAGGAATTGCAGGCGCTGTCAGATGTCACTTCTCGTTATTGCGCAACTTTCTGCAATCAATGAGAGGAATGGCACTAGAAGTTTCAATTCAATTTATTAATAGATGATCTCCGAGTGAAATTAAGGAATGATTTATGGGTTTAGGTTATAAATAAAGTATTTTTCAAAAGCATCATTAAAAGATACTTTTTCCTGAATATATACTTTTTATACTTATACGATACTTTTTACTCCATATATATGATTAACCTATATTCAGCATTTACAGTAATATAACTAATGTAGCTAAATGCATGTTTCTTCCTAGCCCAGTTGAAAAACATTGGTTTATTGGCAAACTGGCATAAGCAAAAATTTAGTTCAATGGTAAAAAATATATTATACTGCGTTTTCCCAAAACACATCGAACAGGAAAACTTTTTGGCAGAAAATTTAATTTTTAACGAATAGTGTACAATTGAATGTATGATGCGAATATAAAATAGAGACAAGAGCCTTAAGTCAGTGACGGCACAAAATTAAGCTTCATTGCTTTTTATTACCCAAGGTAAGTGCTTGACATGGCTTGATTCAGCATACAATTCTTATTTGACAATATGAAACGTTGACGACTTATATTAATTCTAATTTTTTCGTCCTCATTTGAGATAATTAGCGCAAGACACTTATTAAAAAGACTCATGCCCTAATTTTTCTATTTCCAAAGCAAAACCGAGTCTTCATGTAAGAAAGCTCGTGATTAATTCAAGTATTGAATGAATCAACCGAGAAAAAAGTTAATATGATCGATACTAAACTAACATTTTTGCCTGAACGTGTTTTAATCATTCATATGACACGTGCCATGCATGATTTCAAAATTCTGACGATATTTGGATTCATTAACATTAAAATCTGGGCATTTTATCTGAATAGTTTAGAGGCATTTAAATTAATAAAGAGAATATCTAGAAGTGTTTGGTCAAATGGACTTGAAAGAACGCATACACGGGTTTCCTTACCAGCTATTTTCGTATGTCTGTCTAGATGGAATGCATGCAGTACAGTCGGGCAATTCCTGTTATAAGCAGAGATTGAATGATGTAGCTCGTCGACGAGTGACTGACATACGCTAAGTTTTGTGCCGATTCCTGCGTGACTGTTTTTCCCGCTATGATGGTGGCCATGCTTAACATCAATCATGCCCCACGCAGCATCGCTGCTCAACATATGCAAATTATGATCGAGTGTGGATTGTGAGGACTGCAGAAACGCGCTGCATATGCTTTTTAGGCGCAACGACGAATAATATTATTTTACCAGTTAAAATTTAACCTATTCCGTATTTTTTATATTTTTTAATCTATTATATCGAAGAATTAATATACCTGACTTGACGCCCAGATGCTAGATTGGTCGATAAATCACTCGAACGCATTAAATTTTTTATAGTATATATTTTAGCCCTTATTTGCAAGTTTGCGCATCGATTATCGGTTGCAGTTGCAATCTTGTAAAGACTTTAATTGGCCAGCTCCAATGTTCAAGTTACACTTTAATTGTCACATATGTCGAAAAAACGAAGCATAAAATTTCAATTCTGTTGCTTGGGATGCAGTTACTTTGGCTGATCCAAAGAACCTTATGACTCCCACGACCGCTCCTGCTAAAACATGTAAAATTCAGTTGCCAATATGACGCCAAATGACGCACTAGCTCAGATTCTCATTAATATCTCAAACTTCCAATTTACCATAGTGATAGTCAGAAAAAATTTGATGTAGATTCGATTTGAATAAAATCTTCTATAATAAACTTAAGCTGAGTGGGAGTTGAGCTGCGAAATTCTTGTGATGGATCATATCAGGAGTTTCTATTGGTGACGACAACGTGGTAGATACGAGTGTTAGTAGCATGATAGACATTGGCTGTGACAATGTGATAGATATTGGTGGTGACGATATATGATATTAGTGGAATAATCATAATGAATTTGTTTTCATTCGATTGAATTATATTATGTTTTTATGATCTTATATGGTTCAAAATAAATATTCGCAGACGGAACATAATTTTCAAAAGAAATTTCATTTGGACATTCAAGATTTGTACAGGCACTAGCTGTCGTTTGTTTCATTTTAACACAAAGTGTTTTATGTTTCATCCATTGACAGATAACGTAGTAAGGCTAATTTGAAAAGACTCTGTTGCTTATTTTATTTATCGACAGACACTGTTGTTTGTTTCATTAGAAAGATTGTTTTTTTTTGTTTTATTTGAACAGACGCTGATGTTTGACTCGACTGGACTTACTCATTAATGGTTTTATTTAGCGACCGACACTGTACGTTGTTTGTTTCACATTCACAGATGATGTTGCTTGTTTTAAAGGGGCTGACTATGTTGCTTGTTTTGATTATAAAGTTGCAATTATTATGGTAATTCTTGCAATATGACTAGCTATTGATTCTGATGATATTAAGTTTGAAATTTTGGCTTTTCAATGACCTGCATTGGCATTTTTAGCACATTTTCTCATTTATGGAAAAAAAGGCGCTATTGTGCTCGCCATGTCCGTCTGTCACGTCCGTCTGCCTGTCTGTCCGTCCGTCCGTGAGTTCACATTTCGTCGACCAGAAAATGCGCTCTCTGTCACTCACTGCAGTGAGTACGGATTTAAAATTTTTTCTTAATAGTACCCAGGCTTTCGTTCAGTGCGATCTGAATCATTCCAGATTGTTAAGCCTCCGACCTGGTCCTGTAGATATCTTGACCTTATTTTCTTAATGGCATCCAGGTTTCTCATAGTTCTAATTAAGGTGGTACGTAGCCCACCTTCAAGAGAGCAGGAATCAATATCGGTTGCGTGACGCGTCGCTATCGCTCGCACTTGCCACTGATAAATCATAAAAATATTAGGTAATATTGCTGCTATACCGCTATCAATGACACATTTTTTGAAGTGAACCTTCCATTGAAAGCATGTTCAAAAGTCACACAAGGAAAGTTTAAGTTTAAATATACCGTTTTACTATCAAAGAAACCGTGCAATTTCAATGAAACCTTTTCTTGTTGTGTGAAACGTTCTTCGTAAACGAGAGCTTTATTTGGTGATTGACTTAGCACTGGGAGACTGTAATAATTTTCCACTTCCTGATAACAAAAAATTTTCTGTTATTTTTCATCGTGTCGCTTGGGAAAATACCGAAACAATTCGGAAACTATTTCAGAGGGAAGTTATTCTTAAATAATTTAGTTTTTGCAAAAAATTATTCCTCTATTAAATAAAGATATTATTCAATGAGTTTCCAGTCTATCCTCATGTGTTACCATAGTAATAAAAATTGTTCCCCATCGTCATGACATATCCGTTAACATAACGACGATATTCCAGGTAAAGGCAATAGAAGTTAATGGAAGCAAGGCTCAGAATTTTTCCGATCATATTAGAAGTACATTTATTTTATGCGCACCCAAATAAAACATTCAGAATTATGATCCATTGTGCCACGCGTTCCATTTTACCTTCCTACGTTATGCACATAACTCTTCTTATTTTTATGGAGCAAGAAGGATTGCATCCAAAATATCTGGCAAACAGATATTCATTAAAATTTATGTGCAAGAAATTTTTGCTTCGGGATAGCATACTAGTATATTTTGTACTCATATATTTATATATGTAATATATTGTCCAGTATTTATGCATCTACCTGTAACGAAACTGAAGTCTACGTTTTAGTGATATGTTTGCTCAATAATACTGTTTCATTTGTAAAGAACTTTAAAGGAGGAGAGAAAATTTTAGGATACATGAAAATAATTTGAATAATTTCTTTTGTCTGTTTCTGCGCAGACGAGGCGATGTCGCTGTTGCTTTTATTATTCGTGGTCTCTACAGCGTCCGGCGATGGAACGCCTAGAAGTAAGTTACATCATTTCATATCAATGAAGTGAGTGTAGAGTATGTGTAGAGTGTGAGTAAAGTTGATGAACATTTATAACAATTTTAATGTGCAAAGATTTTAATCAATTTATTTATGGGATGACGGTATATTGATAATTCTTCAGAAGAAAGTACCAACAAAAAAAAAGGAAAATATTCATCAATTCATTCCATAGTTGAAATGCTGAAAACTAAAACTGAAATTACACATATTCGTCACAAAACGATGAATCCTGACTAGGATTATATTATTTCTTGCACTTAATTCTTTGTAAATAATAATAAAACTTTCACTTTGCAATTTCACGAGGCTACATGGCTGGCCAATAATTGTCCTCTTGATTTTAAGCCTCTATTCTGTAACCGGTATGTCGATGACACTTTTTTGATTTTCGAGCATCCCTCACATGTGGGCCTCTATTTTGATTATCTTAATCTCCAGCACAAGTCCATCAAGTTTACCATGGAGCTAGAATCAAACAATAGTCTATCTTTTCTTGATTGCAATGTCACAAAATCAAATGGCCGTTTTCAGACCTCTGTTTACCGAAAATCAACGTTTACCGGTTTATGCACCAGCTTCTTCAGCATTTGTTCATTTCGTTTCAAATTAAATGGTATTCGAACGTTAATACACCGAGGCTTTCGTATCTGCTCAACTTTCCATACTATGCACTCTGAATTCGAATTTTTACGCAGTACGTTTTCACTTAATGGGTTTCCGTCGCAATTGGTATATACTCAAATTAAGAAATTTTTGTCTAAGCAATATTCTCAGGTTGTTCCCGAACGTGACCATAGGAATGCTGTTTATTGCTCATTTCCTTACTTTGGTCCCGCTTCTGAGTCTATGGCTAAAGAATTGAAAGATTTGTTCTCTAAATACCTCCCAAATGTAAATCTTCATGTATTGCTGGTGAATAATTTTAAAATCAGTTCTTTTTTCAAGTATAAAGACACACTTCCTGTTCCTATGCGATCGTCCCTAGTTTATCAATATAGTTGTGCGCTATGCGCGTCTGCGTATGTCGGTATGACATCTCGCAACTTTTATACTAGGCTGGCAGAGCATAGGGCATTTTATACTAGGCTGGCAGAGCAGAACAGGAAACCTGCTTGCCCATCCCCCTCATTCAGCAGTACGCGTCCATGCCGAGCAGTGCAACGTGCCAGTGTCCGATAGTGATTTTCGAATTTTAGCCTCCACGACCGGTGTTTCCGACTTGCGAATTCTAGAGTCCCTTTATATTTTTAAACAAAAGCCTATTTTAAATGCCGCTAATAGTTCATATCCCCTCGAAATTGTAAATAGATAGATTTGTGCCCGTGTTTGCTTCATTCTTGTTTGTTTCTCATTTGACGATTTATGCATCAATGTGGATGTATTGCTAATTGTTTGTACCTGTGTTTTAGGTTATGAACTGATGATGGAGCTGGTCTCCGAAACGTTTTCCTTTTTAAGAAATGGTGAATTTTCTGGCTATTTTCTTTGCTTTTAAATTTTTGGTAAAACTTCCCATACATATTAGATTTTACCGTGTGAGGAATGCACTTCTCCATTACACAATGCTTAACCTAAAGCACGGGATTTTTCGATATGAATTTTTATTGGACGTTCTATCGACGCCGTCGTTTGACTCTTCACGTGTTTGAATAATGAAGCGGGTGCTGGGAAAAAATGGAGACAATTCCTTGGCTCAGCGACTTTATTTCAAGGGTTGTACGTTATTAGTCTATGTTAATTTGAGTTTTTTCTTGATGAGCATTCCTTCGGCAGTTAATTATGGCGAGTAATAAAAAATGAATTCATTTTGTTCTTCAAAGGAACAAAAAGCGTGTTTGCAATAGAAAAACCCTGAGTAGCCAACTTTTTCGGTTCGTAGCTCGTTGCCGTAACCTAATTTCTTGTGGAATTTTTTAGTTTGCAGGCCTTTCGAAAAGTTTTCAAAACTCTAAATGAGTTTATTTGAAGAGTTTGTAGGCAAGTCCTGAACTTGATGTTAAATGAAGTCATGAGCTGAAATTCAATTTCATCACATAGACAAGGTTCGTCTGAGTGTCGTCGGCACGTGAGATCAACCATGAAGCAATATACTTTTTATCAGTACCATAAAATATCAAGGACTCATTCTTAGCGCATTTTCTCATTTATGGAAAAAATGCACTATTGTGCTCGCCATGTCCGTCCGTCCGTCTGTCCGTCCGTGACTTTACGTTTTCGTCGACGAGAAAATGCGCTCTCAGTCACTCATTGCAGTGAGTACTGAAATATATTTTTAGCGCATTTTCTCATTTATGGAAAAAATGCACTATTGTGCACGCCATGTCAGTCCGTCTGTCTGTCAGTCCGTGACTTTACGTTTTCGTCGACGAGAAAATGCGCTCTCTGTCACTCATTGCAGTGAGTACTGAGTTATGTTTTTTGTGCAATTACGGGTGATAAATGAAACCCTCTCCAAGATTGCATTTGGTTATTTGTATTATCCGCACCTGCAAATGTTGACAGAATTAAGGTGGCTGACAGAAAATGGCTCAATCTCAACCTGCATTTCAGGTGTTATATAACTAATAGACACAAACTAAATCCTATTTAGGCTAAATCCATGGACCCTTGTTCAGTACTCCTATAGAAAGAAATCGAAAATAATAACTGCAACCTACCGCCACGTCATAATGGGGGTGATTGCACAATGTCAATGAACAGTTTCGAACCAACATGTTTGGTATTTCAGAACTAAGGAAAACGACGCCTCAAAATTTTAGCACAAGTTAAACTTTGAATTAATTCTATTATGATATTGTTTCAGATATGTAATTGCGGAAGGAGTCAGCTGTGAATTTTCTCGGCTGTCGTTGCCAGATTAATCTGATGTTCATATGATACTTTTTCAATCTGATACTGATATTAATAACATACTAAGCTTGTATGTTATTAACTATAAAAACAAAATTGGCCAGTACTTCTTGGAATAAGCAGTCAGCAGAAAATACACTGGAATTTAAAAATGCAAAGACTTGTGTGCGGTTACAATGAACAGTAAGCAAGGATCTTATTGAGCATGGCTTGAGAAAACGTCAGTAAGCAGGGTTTTATCTGACGGCTCTTCTGCTGCGACTGACAGCACTACAACTGGGCTGAAAGCACCAAAACTCAGGCTGACTGCAGGAAATTCAAAACTGCGTTGCGGAAATAAATTCAGAATTCGAATTCAAAAGCTAGTGTGCATGTTATTGTTAACATAAATGGATGAATGACGAATAATAAAAAATAAAAAATTCTTTATAACGAATAGGAAATTGTTGGCCGCCAATATTATCGAAAAAGTCAAACTATTTAATTTACTGGTTAATAAATTGCCTAAAATTGTCAAATGTGCGCTAAACGATTCCTGTAAAACGTCATAATGATAGTAATAATAATTAGAAGCCTTTCAAATAGTATTGCAATAATATATACTCTCTTGAAAACTGTTCCTAGTTGTTGGAAATATAAGTGCATGCTCACCATGCAATATCTTCTGTATACGAGGAAAATGCATGCATATTTTTGCTGTCATATTATGCATACTTTCATTGTCCACAAAGGCAGAGCAGATGAAGTATATAATCTTTATGGCAGCTCAGAAGTTAGCTCATTTTTCCTCTGCTTGACATTAGTTTCTTGCGCGTGAGTCGCAAAAACGAGCAGGGATCATTTTTCTGGTCTCTCCTCCAGCGCCGTCCACGGTAGACGGGCATGTTTGTTGTCAACGACAAATGAACACAAGATCAACGAGAAAATTATCTCGTCGTGTCACTTAATGAATTAAAATGCCTGATGTACCGGAACGTTCTATAGACGCACGAGAATTCCTGTAATGGAGACAACTATGCAAGAGTTAAAAAATGTCATAATTCCATGACGTCGCCATTTAAGCAATTGTTCTTTTAATGGATTTAGGCTCAAAAGAATATAATTTCGCATTATCATTTCCTGCTAACGAAGAACAACTACATGTTTCTAAGAACCCCCACACTTCAACGAATCAAATTTCCCTGTAGTATTTTTATTTCTATTGAATAATACCGAGAAGAAACCGGGACCATATTTCCATTGGAACTCACGACTCACGACATGAAAATGCTTCATCCTAACTTGACCTTCATGAAATGATCTCAACCCCAAATTCAAGATTGTCTGAAGAATATTTATGATTTTAATCACGTAGAAAATTGCATATTGGCACTGCGGTGTCATTAGCAAAGTGAGGCAATCAGACGATACTTGATGTAGCGTTGATACGCCTCATTTGTTTTGTATGGCGTCCGGCAAGAGTTTTATGTGCGATGTCAACAAGCGGAGCTTTGCAGTGACAGCAAACGAGACCCTTAGCCTGCCATGAACATGAGAGCTGCATGCATGTATGACCATGCCGTCCAAAGAGCTGTTGTGTCGCACATCATAAATGAAAATCAATGGATTACGACCACCGTAAAAGAAGGTGATCTTCTGCACGAATGACTTTAAGTGAGCATTTTTCCTTACCATTGCTGCATTTTTCAAACATTATGAATGTAAGAAGAATTTTTTTCGAAAGCAAGAGCAACGGAACAGTTATTGATGCGTTTCCAGGGCGGTATTTGGTCACGCACGAACTCCAGGTACGCGACCTTGGAGTTCATCGCCAACACTGTGTCCCGAGAAGGAATATCAACAATTTCATTTAAGTAATAACGTGAATAATATTACTGGAGGCGTTTTTTCAACGGAAAATTAATTTGTAACAGTATTTTGTAATCGAAGTATTAGAGTAAAAAATTTTCGAAAAGAAAATACCTTTAATCTGTTAAAACAAAGAGCATCATATTTAAAATTTCGTCAACACCTGAGTTTAATTGAACGATTGTAGGATAACTGTTACGTATATTCGTTTTGCGAAGGATTTTAATACACGATTTTTCGTTCCGTTTTCTCTGCAAAATTGGTTTCTGTGAACAAA